GGGATATTTACTTTAATATCCAATTATAAATTGGAAGGCACTGGAGGACAAATTACAAGTAAAATTCTTGAAATTGAATTTTCTAGGTTATATATTTTATAGTTATTGTATATTGAAAGGAGTTCCATAATAGCTGTTTAATAAAGTAGAACCTATGTCGGAAAAGTCTCTGTCACAGGATTTTCAAACTTTCCAAAATAAGTAATTAGCACTCGCTTATTAATCAATTAAAAGTGAATGGCATTTTTTAAAAATGTTATTAAATGTAGTGCAACCGGTGCAATTTAAAATGATAATTATACACTGCGACTATGATTTTCAGCCATTTTTAGGGGACATAGTTATAAGAAGAATATAGAAAATCACAAAAATACTTCTTCAAACATCTTCAATTAAAGATTTTATTAATTAAACAATAGTTAGAAATATTATTCAAAATCAATTTCTTTTTTCTTCAATTAACATAAAAGATTAAATCCACAGGCATAATATAAGCAAATGCGCTCAATATTTTTCAAAGGACTTTTAAGTCGATCTACAACCCGAAATTATTTACCAAACGTCTTTGTGGCAGTGTATAATGAAGAACACACCCAAGTTATTAAGATATATACCTGTCTCCGCAAACTAATGAGAGAGATGGGTGTTGTTTTTTTTTATCAATACTACTCATGTTGACCTTTTGCACTTACACATTTAATGATTAAATGAATGTTTATGTGTTACTTTGAAATTAACATTGTGAAAATTTATCAAAAAATGTAAATTTCTATTTTAAAAAAAATATTTTAGCGAAATATTATCATTATACACAAACCATTCAAAATTCATTTGAATAATTAAGAAATAATTATGAAAATGAATGCATATCATTTCTTAATAGATATTACGAACATTAAACACAATCTTTATTAGATCAATAGATCTATTAATCAGACGACATATCATTTGTACTATATAAAAGTTAAATGAAGATTTCTTAGCAATTTTGCATTCCTTCAAAAAAGTTGTCATTCAAATTATCACAGTTGTGTATATTCATTAGCTGAGACAGTCTTGCATTTGTTCACTTAACTATGATGTCATACGACGTAGGTTGTCTTTAAAATTATTCAAATCAGTAAAGTGTCAAATCTGGAAAATATTTTTCATAAAATATGGAGATAACGAACAGTATTCAAGCTCAAAAGTCCATTCAAACAATACAAATCAGGAGCAGAGCAAACACAGCCCTCTAAAACATCATAGGTGAGATAAGGTAAATACATATTACTATTTTACAGAATACCCAACAACCTAGCACTGGACCCAATCCAATCTACCCATAGCTACATATTTATTCGAAAGTCAAACACTGTAGGTTGCAACCTTTTTGGACCTCGTTACCGGGTCTGGTATAAAACTGGTATAAAATTTGTGATTTTGAATTAGAGAGAGCAGCCCCCAAGATGCCAAAGTTTTTTGTATTACTTTTGTTTTTTATTACAGTATTTGTTTTTTAATTTGTACTGTAAATTTGCTTTGTATATAGTGTTGATTACATATGCCTTTGTTCATCTGAATAAATGTAAAACTTTCCTTTTTGTCATGTTGTGTATAAAACTGGTATAAAATTTGTGACTGTAGTATCTGGTATAATATAGATGTTGACGTAATCGGTCTTAATTTTAAAACGACTTTGGCTACTCTCAAATACCTTTAACTGATAACAAAAATGAAATAAATCAGAAATATTTATGACTATTAAACATCAGTGGTGGTATACGTCCTTTACTCACCGTATTCCTAATAGGCATCTGTTTGAAATATATTCCGTTTAAAGAAACCAATGCATGTATACCAAAATTGGTTTTGTTTTGTTTTATAATTAGATATCCTCATTTGTCTGGTGAGAACAGAATGCAATAAAAAAGAATTTGTAAACTGTTTGGGTATTATAAATTGTTTACGTTTTTTTTTTCTTAAGTAGCATTTCAACAGATTTTCAAAATTAATGTAATATTTGTACTTGTATATATGTAAAACATGACGTTATTATAGTACTCGTTGTAGCGAAGTTAAGCTAGATGATGGAAACAAATCTTCGATTTCGGTTAAAGGTGTACACATAAATTTAAATAATAACAAATCTTATAAATCACCAATGTTAAAACAAACTCTGTCTATATCATAGTTGTATTAAAATGTGTGCATCTGCGTTTATCAAAATAGAATGCGAAATCATGGAGTAATTGATTTTAAATATTGTTTGTTTATCTTTGTAATTGCCTCCTTGTGAAGTTGAAATGATAACAATAAATATATAAATAAATAAATTATCAAAACCTATTATACCACCTTTTGCCTATTGGCAATATGAGGGACCCAAAATAGACGCATTGTCAATTTAAAGATAACAAATATCACGCGATTACTTGCCTGAGATAGTTCCAGAGTATCGCATCAAGCTTCCTCATTGTCAGAATTCCGGGTTCAGAAGTGGTATCATATTTGTGATAACTACTTCATTTAAATTATCACGGAACTCCTGATAAAACTATACAAATTAAACATTTGTCGTGGAATAGACTACCAAATTGTTAAGTGTGGTTATTCTGAGAGAGAGAGAGAGAGAGATGCTCATGTAAAAAATAAAAGAAAAATTGAAGTATTGTTAAAACTCATTCTTATTCTTATATACTGTTATCCTTTTCTTTTTATTAGCGAGAACTTTATTTTTGGGCACACGAGGCGGTCTACTCACGAAAATTATTTTCATTAGTATAGAATATATGCAAGAAAATCCAGAAGTCATGAAATTTTTGTCTCGCTTATAAATATTAAATATCTTGCGAAAATAGGGTGTCGCTAAAATTGAGTGATTTTCAGTATGCATGATATACATAGGGTCTTGAGATCATTTTTGCAAATCCTTCTTTAGTTTTTTCACTATTTTTCTTCCTAGCTATCCAGACTAAATAATTTTTTTTTTGAATTCGAAGCTAAAACAAAACGTCGTTTTCTGAATTTAATTACCTTTTGAAAAAGGCAATGAACCATTTTTTTTTTATTTCTAGGTTATAAAATGTAGCCTTTTAAAAGTTAAAATCAGTCACTCCCTAAAATAGAACGCTTGGAAGAGACAGTACGTTGGCCTTCCTAGCAATATCTTCTCTATACTGGAAATTCCCTGTTGGTCCCTTTCATTATTTGGGTTGGGGGATTTATATAGGATTTATATGCTTACCTATGAATTATTTTATTGTACTAGATGTACTGGTAATAAATTTGTAAAGAATTGCTTTCATTTTTACTTCATTTTAATTAATTAATGCTTTACATAATACCAGTATAATATAAAGGTCAAATTTAAAAAAAATAATAAGAAAAGAACGCAAAGTACTGGCTCTTGGAACACCAGACCTGCTACATTACTACAGTAACTATAAGATAGACAAGTTTTTCGAATGAATCAATTTAATTGACATTTTTGTTCCAGTATTAAATATATTATGTTTATATTGGTTTTTTTTCTTTATATATTGTTGTCGAGGTTTATAACTATCGAGTAAGCTTATCATGTTTATAATTACTGTGTGTTTTGATGAAACACATGTGTTGTCAAAGAAAATCTCAAGAATGTCTGTAAAGGTCTGTGTATATTATGCAGAGAATGCTATTGATATCACTTTTAGGCGAAAAAATAACATTGTCATACCGATATGAAACAAAAACAAAAATAACAACGAAAAGAGCCCAGAAGAAAAAAGACACGGGGAATAAGGACAACAACATTATTTATCCCTTTTTACACATGAATGATTTATATAAACTTCATTTTAAAATTTGGTTGAAATACATGTACTCGTAGGGCCCAACTTTTAAAAGGAAGTACAGTGGATAAAAGTTTTTCCAAAAGTGAATCGAACCTTAATGATATTTAAATTAATTATTATATTTTGGAATGTGGTTTGGAACCAAAACCACAGAATTTATGGAAATCTTTATTTTTACTCATTGATATCCTATAAGTTGATGTGTTAATGTTGAGGAGCACATTTTGCATTTGAATACGAGAAGCCATATGTATGTATGCATGTTGAATCAAAGTCCAACTCAATTTGCCTGCTATCGATGTCAACCCACGAACGAAGAAAAACCTTTCGAATGTGTAATGTATCTTCAATATAATACAACTATACCTCCTCCCGAGACCCGAAATTTTGGCCTAGAGGATAATATTATGAATTCAAAATTTTTGGTACAGAGCTACTTTTTTTTTTTTTTATAATCCTGCAAACAGTTTGTCTGCAAGATGTCAATTTTGAAAAAAAAAAAAATCAAAGGTTTATTGTATTTATAAATTATAAATTTATAATCAATATAAGTCCTACCCTGAGGGGGGCATAAACGTTTTTTTTAAAGAAATGGTTTTAAATTGGCTCTGTGATTTCAGAGTACAAAGTTAAAGTGTTCACAGTTTACGCATATTGCACGACACATGAAGAATACGTGACGCATGAAGACGGATCATTGGATTTCTTGAGTGACTCAGTTTACCTAGATATAGAAAACTTTGAAAATGCTGGTTTTAATCTTCATGTTTGAGTAAAGTCAAAGAAAAATCGAGTAGCCAAAAGTATATATTTTTTTCTCTTTGTATATTATCACAATTATTCAAGGGTGACCGTTTTCTGTTTAATATTGTTTGAAATAAAACTTTATCATGCCATTATAAGTGCCCTTTCACTGTCTTTGGATATACATGTGTTGATAGTCAGTACTTTATTGTTCATTGATATATCGATACTGAAATCCTTCCTAGTCGAAATTAAGATAAACAAACAAAATCATTTAAAACTATAGTTGCAATGTAGGGTTAGGCTATACATCTTTCTCGTAAAATGCAAATTTTACAGAAAAATATGCAAGGTAATACATTCTCTAAACTACGCTTCAAAACAACGATTTTCTTAATTTTTCTTTTATTTGGAATATTTGAAAGCCGTAAACTGTAGCTGAGAGTTGTAAACTATAATTGACAGACCGCATGTAGTACGCTTACTGAAATTTAGAATTTCTATCTATAGTTTACAATTGTGAAACCATATTTATTACATCATCAAAGATTTGCATATGTATATTAAAGTTTACATTTTTAAATATAGTTTGTAGACATATTAGGTGATATACATTAAGACATAAATTATCTTTTGAAATTTTGCATAAACTAGAATATATCTTAGAAAGGTAGGTACTGCAAAATCACTTATTTTCGTTGGTAAAATTTTCGTGGTTTGAAGAAAAATTACTGTGGTTAAAGGAGAAACATTATAAAGCAGTATGTAATTTTCACATTTCGTGGAGGATACGAATCTACCAGGAAAGCAACGAAAATTAAGCCCCCACAAAAATTTGTGATTTTACAGTAAAGCATTTCAAAAATTATAAACAAACAAACAAAAAAAATATTCACAATGCAGATAGTGCGTTAAAAACCATTGTTTTAGTTTCTGAGTCCATTTACATTTCCGTGTCAAAAGCAGCGTTCACAGAGCCGTTCATATGACTGTCTCCATTCTTTGTAGAACGCTTTTCCAACAGTTTGTTTAGGATTCCTAAAACTGTAGATTTTGGCGTGAGGCCAATTCTAAAGAAGCCGAGTTTGCCATTGTCTATATCACGACAGTCCACTACCGTTGAAATGGCGTTTTCTCTAGAAGGACCATCACATAGGATTCCGTCACACTGAAACATTACATGGTTTTAAAATGTAGCGTTAACTTTGCCTTAAGGCTACTGAGAAAGTCATGTTTTGGAATAGTTTTTTGATATTGAAGCCCCTCTCAGGAATTGTATAAAGCTTTAAGTAAAGTCAATCTCCATTAAATTAAAATGATTTGATTTTCATAATGAAAAGCTGAAACTTTGTGATTTAAAGTATCATGTCAGGCTTTGGGTAACAAGCCTAATTGTTTCTGATATAATAATTAGGTGGAATGGTTATAGAGGAATTAAAATGCGCTGTTTCTTTCATTTCTTTACATTAGAAATACGATCCACGTGGAATTAAAATGTCTTTCTTTGAACAAGATTGAGAGTCATATCCGTAAAGAAGATAAATAAATTTATTACCATTTTCATTCCAAGCTTTGCCAAAACCTGGAGATGGTGGGTGGTATCTCCCTCCCCTGTCGGGTTTGCTGACGTCACAGTCACTGGTCCACACTGGTCAATTAGATGACAGGTAATAGTACTATCTGGAATTCGGAGGGCGATGCTATCTGAACGACCAACGTACTTTTCCGAATCTCCAAGACCCAAAGATTTTACCCATTCACCTGACAAAAAAAGCAACCTTTTCAATGATATAAATTATCAAATACACCGATTCTGCACTCTGCGATACGGGTGACGTCACAATACCCCATATCAAGGACCGGTCCGAAAATCCATATCACGTATCGGACCGGCGTGCAAAAATCCATATCAAACCGGAAGTAACGTTTGTATAAAGTTTGAAAATTAATTAACTTGATTTTATTTAAACATACATGTAAAATAATTCTTTACTAACATTTGTGGACTTAATTTTTTTTTCAAAGACCTAAAATTGGCTCTATTAGATTTTAAAGAAAAGGGTCATAAACATGCACAAAACATTCTTCAATAACTTTATGTGAACTCGCATAATTAGTATTTAAAATATATGATAAATAGAATACTACATACTAAAATCCATATCATATGTCATATCAGCCCTCGGGCCCCATATCAGCCCTCGGACCTTCGGCCCTCGGGCTGATATGGGGGCCACTCAGGCTGATATGACATATGATATGGATTTTAGTATGTAATATTCTCTATATATGGTAAATAACATATACTGTAAACCCACTATTTTTTCGCGTGAGAGAAATATCCGCGAGTTACGCGATCTTCTTTTACTCTCGAATAAGTCTCACCGCATACCACGACTTTTTCCTTGTTTTTGTGTAGAATATCTTCTCAATCGCGAAATTAATCATCGCGAATAAAATATATCATAAATAATAACTGGTTTATAATATAAACAACCGATCTTAATGATGTCTATTTTAGCATTTTTTTCAGACTTATCTTCGAAACAAAGAAGAAATTAATTAACCTCTCTTCACAACAACGGAAACATTTGAAGGCCATATTTCATGTAGGAAGTCCCAAAGAAGTGAGCTGAATTCATGGCGAGCAGCCTCTATTTGTTTGAAGTTGGATATCCATAATGACATGGGTCTGTCTTCTGCCTGCTTTTTTGTCTTGTATGCTCTCTGCAAAGAAATTCCTGAGTTTGCTGTGTCTTTTTGATTTATCAAAACTTAACAAAGAATCTATTTCAAGCATCTAAAATATCTAAAACATCTCCCCCTTATTTTTCTTTTAGGACTGAATGCAAAATAGATTATATATAAAATAAGCGTTGTGTTGTTCTAACTCGATGAATTTCAAATGTGCATGTGACAATTCCTCTTTCATAACTTTGATGCTTAAGTTTCATAGCATGCGACATCTTTTGATACTTTAAATAAGCGACCGTAAATATAAACTTCGTTAATTGTGTATGTGTATATGTAGTGTTCAAGATACCTCGACAGCTTCGGGATGGTGACAGCAGGCGACCAGAACATACACTGTATCTGTGGGAATTCCACATATACCGCCGGCCTTCAGCTTGTCTATAGACAAGGAAACGATTTCCACAAGGCAAAGTGAACATTATTTCAGAATATCTGTTTCATATCGCATAAATGTTCAGTTGTGAAATGATTAAATGATTAAATATGAGAGAGAGAGAGAGAGAGAGAGAGAGAGAGAGAGAGAGGGGTTACCTGCTATTTCTTTTACACCTCTCGCTTTTCTAGATGAGGCCCAAAGAATCTGGTCATTGTACTTTGTTATCTTACTAATTTGTAGAATAGGTTTTCCAAGAGGTAAAACTTCTCTTCCCAAGGACAAATTAAAGGTCGACGATAAGAGAGCGTAAAAAAGAGATAGAGAATACAAAACTGCAGCTGTCCTCTCATAAATGAATCCATCAGATATGCCTAACACTTGCAGAAGAGTTGCTAACATAAAGAGAACAAAACAAAAAGATATCCCAATCCAAGTCTTACTCACAGTTATTGACATGCCCAAAAACACTACTCCTACTAACAAAAAACTGCTTAACCCAACCCCAAATGACATCCCTGACTCAGTTCCAATAAGGTCTAAGGACCTTAAACTTCCCCAGATGGACCAAAACGAGGCAAAAGTTAGAAAAAATGAACTTTCGAAAGTCTTTCCCCTAGAAAAACCAATAAACCCAACAACAAATTGAATGAAACATCCAAAAATTAAATGCCAAGGTAGAGAGAGTACTGTTGTTTCATGCGAGACCCAGGCAAACGAAAGGACGCTGATAATATTGGAGACATAGCCTATATTATCCAGAGTAGCATATTTAGAGAAACCGAGCATTGAGTCAGACTCAAACACGTTTTTGGAGCTCACTATATCCACTTTGTTTTCAGTGAAAATTTTTTGCCTACGAAACTTTTGTCTTAGTTTTGAAATTACGTTTTGACCAACAGGAAGCTGAATTTTGAACGAGAAGGACTTCAACAAAGCAGCAATATACCCATACATGTAAAGAACAAAACAAATCCAAGTAAAGGTTGCTAATGAAACCTCGTGATTAAAGGTTAAAGTTAATATAAAACCCGAAAGAAACACGTACTCTAATGATAGCAAAATTTCTGAGTGCAAGGATACAACAGCTATCGTAAGAAAAATCGTAGACAATGGGACCGAAACGGCCGGAAACAGAATTTCCGAATAACCTTTTATGACTGTTATGTACATGGATCCACCTAGGGAGCCCCAGAAAAGACCATCAACAATAGAAAATGTAGATACCGTTATGTTACCTCTCCTCATTCCAGATATTCCATGAAGGAGGAGAAATAACCCAGAGGCTAATGGCCAAATAAAACTAATGGCAGTATTTTTTGTTATTGTACAGCTATACAAGACCCAAGGGGAAAATGAAAGAATATTTAAAGCATATCTCATGACTCTTTTATCGTCAAACTCAGTTTTATTATCTGAGGATTTCGTGTGTGTATCCCCAGTAAAATGTTCTAATGCAGCCCTAACACTGACGTAGGCAGTCACGGAGGCTAATGAGAGGAATAATAAACTATGTCCTTTAAGGTTTGTCCACGTGTTAATGATAACACACACTGATAACAAAGACGACGCAAACATGAAAACAACCAGATCCTTCTTGTGGTTATGTAATATCAAACAAACAGAGAAAACAACAAACAGAAGTACAAGAACCCCATGACCCGGAAGTACGACGTCTCTCTGTGAATATGCTTCGACCGAAATATTTCTTCCGTATAACTTTGGGGTGATCTCTTCGGAAATATTTGAGAGACCAACTGCAGTCCAGATGGTACACACGATAAGTAAAACGGTGGCTGGGATTGCTGTGTTCACTGAAGGCCTTGTGAAAACTGTCGAGAAAACAGAATTTTATTTGCAACGATTTTTAATTAAGAAATTCTATAAATCTTTTTTTTTTAAAATCATTTTTATTGCCAGTAAGAAATGGAAACAAAATCAAAGAATGTTCATATCTCACCATGAAGAAAATTAAATCAAACAAACAAGAAACACAAAAAGCACTTTTCAGATTCGTGGGAAAAAGAGAACATTACTAGTCATAGTTAGATACATGTTTACGAGTAAACAGACCAAACTTATCATCAAATACAAAAAAAACCCCGTTATATTGAATTTTAATTCATACATAATTGAAAACAATGACAAGACTTACCACACAAAGCAGCAAGAGCAGAAAGTATCAACTCGGCAGTCCCTATAATAAGTGGTGTTAGTAAGAATAAGCCTTCCGTCTCAAATGTTAGAAAATTAACAGTATGTAAAACAAAAAGAATACTCAGCGATATCAAAGAACTCGCAATGGCAGACATTTTTCTATCTCTCAAAGTTTGGATCTACAGAAAAATAATGTGTATGAGCTATGCAAAATTACAGATTGTATTATTCATCTATATTAGGGGGCGGAGAGTTTCAATTTATTTTAACCCGCTTGCTATCGGTTTCGGATAAGTTTGCTCTTCCTTGTCCAAGAAAGTTTATTCATTGGACAACTAAACATAGTAAGATCCATGGAATTCTTAATTTAGAAACGACTTCATGTTCACATTTAAAAGGTAAACGAGAGGTATTTCCAAATTTTATTGTTTATACATGTGTAAGTGTTATCAATTGACTTTATGTACTTGGTCCTCTACCCTGTATCTTAGAGTTAAAGCTAGGAAAAAGAACACATGTCTTAAGCAGTAGATTTAACTCGCTTAAAATTATTCCACAAAAATTTAAATGGATTTGAAGACAGCGAGCAGCGGTCGTTCAGAGCCATTTGCGGCCGTCCTGTACTCGGAGCCCGTTGCTTTAGGATTATTATGTAACATTGTTTCAGCATATGTTGTGGCCGTCGTGAACATAATTCAAGGGAAGGAAGAGGTTTCAGAGCTAGCTGTGATTGTTGCAGGTGAAGTTTTTTTTTTTAAAAATTTAAATATCGATCTTGTCTCACTGTACCTTTTTAAAATTTAAATATTGAAGATCAATTGACTGTTATGGAAAGCTGAAGGCTTGTTCTTAAAATTCACTGTGTTTTTTTTTTCTTTAATATCAACGATTCGTATAGTTAGGGTATTGGTAAAATATCTCGTTAAATGTAATTCTAAGAAAACAACTAATAAAAAATTGTTTTAGGAGTCCATTTGATTCTGATTGGAGGATTCCTTCAGTTAACATCTGGAATATTGAGTTTCCGTAGAAATGATCACCTGACAGGAACAGCTCTCACTGTTTTCGCCACACTATGGACATTCCAAGGCTTTGCAAATATTGTTATGAAAAACAGTAGTACCGATGTTACAAAAACTGCTCTTCCAGCTCTTGTCGCCTATGGCACTATTGCTTTGTCACTATTCGTGTGTTCCTTGTTTGTAAATTTTGTCATACCACCCGTTTTAGTGGCCATGACGTTAACCTTGATATTTGAATCTGTAGGTCTTTTCTATGATTGGGGTAAGAAAGCTGCTGTTGCATTTGAACTTATAATAGTTCTTACAGCTATCTACGCAGTCATTGTTATTACAACAAAGGGTATAAGCCAGAGATATATCTTACCGGGATTTGGAAATGCGCCTATAGACCCACTACTTATAAAAAGAAACGTCAAGGGATCTAATAAAAAGGAAAAACGGAAGAACACTAAGTATGCTGAACCAATGGGGATGGGTTACATGGGAAGTACCATACCAGCCACCGTGGTATGTTTTCTTGGTCTTGGGTACTTTCAGGATATGAGGGTCCCGATCATCGGTATCGGTTGTGGCTCTCTCATGCAGCTCCTAGCAAGTTATTACTCTTTTCTCCGTGGTGATGTCTTTAATAGCGTTCAGTTTATGGTACACTTTATATTTTGGACATCGAAATCTTACTTCTTTTATCTTTTGTCTATTGACTCGAATCAGATGACATCAACTGTAGATTATTATGGTTCTTGGGGAACAGTGTTGGCTTTGGTATTTATTACAGTGTGTTCTTCCACCCAGCCAATTGTTGTTTTTATGTATAATTGTCTTCTAACCTTGACCTCAGTGTTGTCGTTAGAACATATTCCCCAGTCTATTCAGTATTATACGTTTGGGGTTTCTGCCGTTTTGTTATGGACATTCACATTATACATTTCCACTGCGTTTCTACTAAATTCTTGCGCCGAGAAACCTGTCTTATTTGTTGGATCAGAGTTAGTGTCCGAAGAACGTCTATTCTTCTGTTGCAAGAAGAAAATAAAAAGGTAAGATAATTGTTAATGTCACTTAAATTATTTATTAAGATTCTCATGCTATTCATATATTTATACACAATAATAAACTCTGATCTGCAGGAATGAAGAAGAAAATGATACTTCAGAAGATGATGATGACATCAAAAGAGTTCAAATAATAAACATTCTATTTTTCCTCTGCAATATGGTAGCAGCCATTGCCTTATCACCCTTAGAAATAGCCAATCAGGAAGCATCATTGTCGTTTCTGCTGAGTGCTGGTGTTGTTGGAAATGCAATAAATGCTCGCTACTCATATGCAACTGCGAGTTTTTCGCATGCCTTTGTATGTTTGACTGGAAGTGTGATTTGGTCGGCCTGGTCAATTTATATATTTCACGGTATGCAAACAGACTTGAATTTCGCATTTTTAATCATCAAATTAACATCGAATGTAAGCTAAACGTAAAAATATCCCATCTTCAACTTATTTCAAAATATATTCTAGAATCATACATACCCCACAAATAATGTCAAACTGAATTTTTACTTCAAATGTCTATGGATGATATTTCAAAACTGACTTTTCTTTCATTTTCATATTTAAAAAAAATCCTCCAAATTTAACTCCATTAAATTCTAGCATATAAAACTCTTACCTCTTTCTGTGAATCATTTGTCTATTTTTTGTGAAACTTCTTAATTTACACCCTGAGTCGAAGGCTCTGGTAAGCTTTTCTGATCGAAATTCGTCCGTTGCCTGTCTTTGTTGTCGTGGTTACTTCACATTTATATCTTCTTCTTCAGAACCACTCGGCCATTTCAACCAAACTTGGCGCAGAACATTCTTGGGTAGCGGGATTCAAGTTTGTACATGTATAAATGAAGGGACGTCGGGGTAGGGCGGGGCAACAAAAGACGATCAACCTTTTACATAGGAATATATAGGAAAAAAATATTTAAAAATCCCCTGAAGAATAACAAAGCCATGGTTAGTCATAAAAATATGGAAGCATCCTCAAGTAGTGCAGATTCAAATTTATTAAAATCATGACCCTCAGGGGTAGGGCGGTGCCACAATAAGAGGTTTAACTTTTGCATAGGAATATATAGGAAAAATCTCTAAAAACCTCGTTCTCAACAACAACAAAGCATGATTAGTCATATCAATATGAAAGCATTCTCGGGTAGTGTGGATTTAAATTTGTTCAAATCATGATCCCACTGGTATAGCGGGACCACAAAGGGCACAAAGTTTTACATATAAATAGATAGGAAAAATCTTCTCAAGAACATCAAAGTTATAATTAGTCATATTAATACAGAAGCGTCCTCAGGCAGTCAGGTGGTGAAGATTCAAGTTTGTTAAAATCATGACCCTCAGAGGGTAGGGTGGGGTCCACCATTTTATCAAGATTTTACATAGAAATAGCAAAAATAAGATATTGTTGATGAAGAGCATCAGGGGCAAGGGGACTCATTTGAGCGTTGTGGCCCATGGACCTCTTGTTATTTTCTTTATCTTGTACATATGATGTCGTGGAGATATAATGAGTATAAACCATCAAGCATTTACAATTGTAGCAACAGGGATAGCTGGGAACAGTGCAGCAGCGATCACGAGTGTAGGACTGTGTGCACTCTCCCTAGTAGTGACCTTCAGCATGCCAAGAACGTGGACAGTGCTGGTCAGCTTTCTTCTGGTTCACGCAGTATCCATCATCACAAAGGTTTACAATGCGGAAGCTAAATATTATCCACTGGTATCATCAGTTTTAGTTGGTATGTAAACAGTCTTCACTCATTAAGGAATGTACCAGTGATTGAAAACATTTTATTTTATTTTATTTTATTTTTTAAATACAGGCTTGGTTGGTCTCTATGGATTTATTTTGTACCTCGGAAAAGGGATTTCAAATAAAAGATTGTTTCCTGAGGGCGAACCCTTGCTGAAGGTACATGTACTTTATACGACAATAAATACTGTTAAAACTTGCGTTGAAGTGAAGTCTTGCATAATGTAACATATAATGTATACTTGTAAATATTCTCATAACTATTATGTCTTTTAAGAAAATTACTGAAATAAACATGTTTAACATTTCAATAAGTATGTCATAAGTCATAGCATACAAGTTTAATAACAATCACTAGTCTGTAATTAACCTATGTCATTTACAGTAGCTAAAATGCAAGAATTAATCAGTTAATGTTTGTATCAATAATTATTATGTATGCATTTTTTGTATTTTTAAAAATTATTTATTTTTAAATATTTATCTTTTATTACTGTAACGACGTCTTGTTTAAGGTGACGACACATTTGATTTTCTAAATGTCGATTGTAAAGTTGAGTGATTATGTGAAATGGGAATATATAAAATAATTATTATCCATTTTAGATGAGAAAACCAAAAATGTCAAAATTGCCCTGTCCGACATTTCGGTCGCGAATTGCAAGCGACATGTTTAAAGCTGCTGAGGTCCTTAAAAGCGGTGAGGTCATATGTGTTCCCACAGACACCGTGTATGCTCTCGCTGGATCATGTTCTCAACCCGAATCCATCTCTAAAATATACCATATTAAAGGAAGACCACCAGAGAAACCAATTTGTCTCTGTATTTCTAATCTAGAACAGCTTAGGGCAGCCAATCCACCCTTCAGGTAATGCAAAGCAAAAGTCCAATACAAGGATACGTACAAAAGTAAGATATAGACATTTCTCTATAAGCATGTTTCTTTTTAGTCCTTTACTGTGGAGATTCATGGACAGGTGTTACCCAGGAGGAATCACGTGCGTTGTTAAGAAAGGTGATTGGCTGCAGAACCTGGGGGTTGGTAAGGCAGCAGAATATGTTGGAACAGAAGGAAGTGTGGCCATCCGGGTTCCCGACAGTTCTGTTTTATCCTACTTAGTCAGTCTGACAGGTCCATTATCCATAACGTCGGCCAACCCGAGCGGGGAGCCGGACAGTACACATCACAGTACTGTTATTGATACACTAGGTAATGATCCCTTAATTTACAATATCTAAAATTCAGATGTTTTGAAATAATCATTTATTGATGTAAAGTTAAGTAGAGATCTGTGAGTTCTATTATGAAGTTTGAAAATATTAAAATGTTCAGCGGTTTAATGAACTATGATAAAAATTCTTCCGATTTTTAACTTATCAGGTAAGAAATGATAAAAATTCTTCCGATTTTTAATTCATCAGGTGAGAAATTAGCTGGTGTGGTGTGTGATGATGAGTCAAATGAATCAGTAGCTTCTACTGTGGTCAACTGCATGAAGATTGATGAAGGTAGTTTTTAAGCTTTACATTTCGAACTGTCACCCGCGTGGCGCAGTGGTTAGAGCGTTTGCTCTAGAGTCGCGGAGTAAGGAGCTGATCCTTACGTCGCGGGTTCTAATCCCACTGTGGGACGTGGAGACCGTTCCTTCGGATGAGACCGTATTAACCGAGGTCCCGTGTCGCAGTAGGTGCTGGCACGAAAAAGATCTCTCATTGCTCAATGGCCTTAAGTGCCGAGTAAAAGTCAAAATTTGCAGCTCTCCACCGGCAAGTGGTGGCGTCTCCATATGAGTGAAATATTCTCTAGAGGGACGTTAAACAATAAACAAACAAACAAACATTTCGAACTTCTTATAAAGCTAACGCGAAAAAGAAAGGTATAATAACACGAAAAATACATGATAACGGAAAGACAGTGTTATTTTACCTTTTAAAAGGCATAATATCGCGAAGTAAAAAGCGTTATTACGCCCTTCTAAAAGACCAATACGTATTATAAAAAACGCATAATAAGGCGAATTCAAGACATTTTAACGCAAATACGGGTTACATATGTGTTATGACGCGATTCAAAAGGTGTAATAATGCAGAGTAAAAAGGCTTTAATACGCCTTTCAAAGAGACATAAAAACGCGAAGGAAAAAGGAGTATAAACACAAATAAAGGCGTTAGTATGCCTTCAAAAGATGTAATATAAATAGAAAGAAAAGGCGTTATTAAACGTATAAGGCAAAGTGAAAAGGAGCCTTTTCACTTTGCATTATATCGCCTTTAAACTTTGCTTTCTAATGCTCTTCGTTTTTTTTTGTTGTTGTTTTTTTACCATAGTGTGATGTTAAAACATGTTTTAATTACTAGTATAAAATTTTAATAAATTACGAAAGCCTAGAAGGGTCAAATAAGAAAATAAAAAACCAGAAGTCTCTGATGAGACTGTAGCTCTACTGGTCTGTTTGTATAACAAAAGAAAAGTAGCACTTGGATTTGAAACATTGCAACATGCAACAATAAATAGAATTATGTATCTTAATGTAGTCTACTTTTGTGACAAGTTACATGTATATTGAAATCAAATGAAAACTAGGAGTAGTAGCGTTTTGAAAGTATTTCACGGAAATTTCTATTTTTAGTACCGGTAACCATGACAACACCATTCACCCAAATAAAAAAAACAGAAATACATATTATGTATCGTAGTTTATTCTAACTGTGTGCCAAATTAGATTGAAATCAGACCAAAATTGTAGGAGGAGTAACGTTTTAAAGGAATTTCACAGAAATTTCTATTTTAAGTAACCATGGCAACACTGTTCATCGAATTCAAAAACCAATGCAATAAATTATGTATCTTAGTATAGTCTTCTTGTATGCCTAATTATATTAGAAGCAGACTAAAACTGTAGCAGGAGTAGCGTTTTAAAGGAATTTCACAGAAATTTCTATTTTTAGTAACCATGGCAACACCGTCCATTGAATTCAAAAACCGATGCAATAAATTATGCATCTTAGTGTAGTGTACGTGTGTGCCAAGTTATATTGAAATCGGACCAAAACTGTAGGAGGAGTAGCGTTTTAAAGGAATTTCACAGAAATTTCTATTTTTAGTAACCATGGCAACACCGTCCATCGAAATCAAAAACCGATGCACTAAATTATGTATCTTAGTGTAGTCTACTTGTGTGCCAAGTTATATTGAAATCGGACCAAAACTGTAGGAGGAGTAGCGTTTTAAAGGAATTTCACAGAAATTTCTATTTTTAGTAACCATGGCAACACCGTCCATCGAAATCAAAAACCGATGCACTAAATTATGTATCTTAGTGTAGTCTACTTGTGTGCCAAGTTATATTGAAATCGGACCAAAACTGTAGGAGGAGTAGCGTTTTAAAGGAATTTCACAGAAATTTCTATTTTTAGTAACCATGGCAACACCGTCCATCGAAATCAAAAACCGATGCACTAAATTATGTATCTTAGTGTAGTCTACTTGTGTGCCAAGTTATATTGAAATCGGACCAAAACTGTAGGAGGAGTAGCATTTTAAAGGAATTTCACAGAAATTTCTATTTTTAGTAACCATGGCAACACCGTCCATCGAAATCAAAAACCGATGCACTAAATTATGTATCTTAGTGTAGTCTACTTGTGTGCCAAGTTATATTGAAATCGGACCAAAACTGTAGGAGGAGTAGCGTTTTAAAGGAATTTCACAGAAATTTCTATTTTTAGTAACCATGGCAACACCGTCCATTGAAATCAAAAACCGATGCACTAAATTATGTATCTTAGTGTAGTCTACTTGTGTGCCAAGTTATATTGAAATCGGACCAAAACTGTAGGAGGAGTAGCGTTTTAAAGGAATTTCACAGAAATTTCTATTTTTAGTAACCATGGCAACACCGTCCATCGAAATCAAAAACCGATGCACTAAATTATGTATCTTAGTGTAGTCTACTTGTGTGCCAAGTTATATTGAAATCGGACCAAAACTGTAGGAGGAGTAGCATTTTAAAGGAATTTCACAGAAATTTCTATTTTTAGTAACCATGGCAACACCGTCCATCGAAATCAAAAACCGATGCACTAAATTATGTATCTTAGTGTAGTCTACTTGTGTGCCAAGTTATATTGAAATCGGACCAAAACTGTAGGAGGAGTAGCGTTTTAAAGGAATTTCACAGAAATTTCTATTTTTAGTAACCATGGCAACGCCGTCCATCGAAATCAAAAACCGATGCACTAAATTATGTATCTTAGTGTAGTCTACTTGTGTGCCAAGTTATATTGAAATCGGACCAAAACTGTAGGAGGAGTAGCGTTTTAAAGGAATTTCACAGAAATTTCTATTTTTAGTAACCATGGCAACGCCGTCCATCGAAATCAAAAACCGATGCACTAAATTATGTATCTTAGTGTAGTCTACTTGTGTGCCAAGTTGTATTGAAATCGGACCAAAACTGTAGGAGGAGTAGCGTTTTGAAAAATTGTTTACAGACAGACGGACAGACAGACAGACAGACAGACAGAAAGACGGTCGGACGACGGACACCTTACTATCGCATAAGCTCTTCTGGTCTCTGACCAGTAGAGCTAAAAAATTAAAAAGTCGTAATTACGAGATAAAAAGTCGTATTAACGAGATAAAAAGTCGTTATTACGACTTAAGAAAGTCATAATAACGAGATAAAAAGTCGTAATAACGAGATAAAAAGTCGTTATTACGACTTAAGAAAGTCGTAATAACGAGATAAAAAGTCGTTATTACGACTTTCTTAAGTCGTAATTACGACTTTTTATCTCGTTATTACGACTTTCTTAAGTCGTAATTACGACTTTTTATCTCGTTATTACGACTTTCTTAAGTCGTAATTACGACTTTTTATCTCGTTATTACGACTTTTTATCTCGTTATTATGACTTTCTTAAGTCGTAATAACGACTTTTTATCTCGTTATTACGACTTTTTATCTCGTAATAACGACTTTCTTAAGTCGTAATTACGACTTTTTATCTCGTTATTACGACTTTTTAAATTTTTTTTTATTTTTTATTTGACCCTTCTAGGCTTTCGTAATAAATAAAAAAACTAATACCATATTTTTTGTAGGTGTCATTTCTTACTTTCGAGTCGGGTGTGTCCCACAAGAGATTGTTGATAAACTTTTTGAAGATGTGAAGAAAGAAATCCAAGAGTAGGAGAAAAAAAAGAAACCATTTTAACTCTGTTATATATTATTGCCCAAAAGTTAAGTGATGTCCAGTTGAAGTTTTAGAACGGATTATTGAAAGTAAAAGCATGGCCAATAAAATGAAGAAAAAAATTAAGTGTATATTTTTATTATCCTCATTATTCTCAAATGTGGTAGACATGCAGTGCCTAATCTACTAAATATTCTTGATCAGAAGATTAATTACGGAACACCATATATGTATGTATTATATAAATATTGCATGTAGTCGAGTGTAACATTGAAAATTTTCACCCCAAGAAAACCATTGTCAACCGAGGCGCAACTACATGCAATATTTCCCGTCGTCAAGCAATGTTGACTGCATACGTTGCTACGCTGGAGGGTGTGGCTTCATCATTCAGCGGGTAATGGTGTTTTTTAACAAATGTTTTTCGATGAATCGGATTTACTGTGCAACAATATATTCGAGTGGTGTATATCAGATGTGGATACTTGAAAATTCCAAGGAACTTTTGGAAAATTTGAAATCACAAAATTTTACCAAAATCAACAACATAAAAACTTAGACTTTTGAACTTCATATACAACCATTCATCACGATAAATTAAAGTCCAGGTTTTTTGATATCATTGACAGCTTTTTCAATAAAAATGGAACTCGTAAATTTACTTACCTTGTCATAGGTCATTTGCAAAATTATTTTGTTAAAAAAACATTCTGATTGTACACACAAGTACTCTGAAGTTGATATTAAAAAGATGCTTGAGTTTCTGATTGACAATATATATATATATATATATATATATATATATATATATATATATATATATATATATATATATATATATATATATATATATATATATATATATGGTTTTTGGAGACCAGGTCTTCCAACAATCTATTGGAATTCCCATGGGTACCAATTGCGCCCCGTAATTAGCAGACCTATTTTTGTATTCATATGAAGCAGAATTTGTTTAAAATCTTATACGTGAAAAGAAGAAAACACTTGCTGTGGCCTTCAACTCGACATTTAGATATATCGACGACGCATTGTCAATTAATGTTTTTCCCATTCTTATGTCGATACGATATATCCCAGTGAGCTTGAAATAAAAGATACCATAGAGTCTGACATATCTGTTTCATATTTGGATATTGTACTAAAATAAGACGTTAATGGTAATCTAATAACCAAGCTTTATGATAAACGTGGTGACTTTAACTTTCAATCGTCAACTTCCCTTACTTATGCAGCAATATAACTTCATCACCTGCATACGGGGTTTATATCTCTCAGTTGATTCGATACGCAAGAGCATGCTCTACGTATGAACAATTTCTAAAACGTGTTAAGTCATTGACTAACAAGCTGAGGAAACAAGAATATCAGCAGTCTCGTTCAAACTCGTCATTTCGTAAGTTCTATGGTCGATACAATGACCTTGTCAGCGAATACAATTTATCATTAAGTAAAATGCTGACTGACGTTTTTCATACTAATTGATAGGCCATTATTTACACACTGAATTGTCGACGGATTTTTCCGTTATTTCCCGATCATGACAAGGAACACACGGCGGTGTGACTGGTCGGCAGGGGATACTCACTCCTCCATGGCACCTGATCCCACCTCTGATGTTTCAGAGGTGTTTGCTATTCTCCAAAATGTGTATTCTTTAATAGACTTTTGAGCTTGAATACTGTTCGTTATCTCCAAAAATTTCATTTAACTAATTTACATGAAAGTATAATATAATCAAATATTGCGAAAGGATTACAGTTAACATATATATATTCAATTATCTGCACTTATCTTTAATAAACTTGTACCAATCTCTAAGTAAATGAACCTATCTTCCAATAAATTATAAATATCTGTATGATTTAAAGAAACGTTTTAATTACTAGAATTAGACCTATATTAAATAGAATATTACCAATAGATTTCATTAAAACCTACTTTTGAAATATTTGAAGATGAGTTTAATTAATTTGAAAGTATGTGTATTTTTAACATATGATATCAAATAAACCTATAGATGGATATCATTCCATTTCGTTATAATCAAAGTACCTGGTAATACATTCTCTCTTAGTGAAGAAAAAACTTTAATTGTCAAACAATGGCAGTCCGAAAGAAACAGAATTCCTAATCAGGAAGTGATGTACATCGTTAAGTAAAAAGTATATTTTTCTCGCCGAGTCACCGAGTTGTTAATTTCTTGACTGGTTCAAGATTCAATGTTGATCCAAGTCCACATTCATTTCTAAATATCTCGCAGTTAAGATGACCTTAAGAATATTTTTTCTGTGTTGAATGCATAGAGAAATGATATCAGTAATTGGAGACTTCTATGAGATTATTATCCGGGTCCCGGAAGTATACAGACCGGATGGGACCCTGAGCTCCTGTTCTGTCAACTGGCCCTTCTGTTATCTCGACTTTACATGTCTGTGGAAATGATAAAGAAAAAAATTAAATAAAATATAAATTAAAGAAAAGAATTTCTTTCCTCGGTCACAGAATGTTAACGGTTAACAATAATAATATTTTGTTTTGAATTAAGCAATATGAGGACAAAAGGTAAGCAAGATTAAATATACAAGTATATACATGTGTCCTTTACCTGTAAGTGTTTGATGACGGAATCTAGATTTTCTCGCGTGATAAAACAAACGTCTGCTGAGCCTGGGGTAGGCAGATGGGCTTTGGGTTCAAATTCCTTTCGATGTTCGTGAATATTAATCTTCTGAGAGCCAAAACTTAAAGCTTTTCTGTTTCCCTTCAAATAAAACGATGCAAGAGGATTGAGTTTTGACAAGTCTGTAAATTCAAGATGAAGATATATGATCAATCATAGACAGTTCAGAGAAATTAGAATGTTTTAACATTCCATTAAAATTTTACTCACTGGCTGTTGGCCAAATTTCAGTATAAACAATAAATATTTACCTTGAAAGTAGTAACTTCCATTCCCAAAACCTTAGAGTAGAATTCGCATGTTTTATTTATATCCTTGACTGTTATAACAAAATGATCGATATTCTCTACTTTAAATCCACTGTAATGTCTCAAAAGGCCCACGAATTGTGGACTCTATGAAAAAATATTAAAGTAAAAATACAAGGACATACATATATGATATTTTTCATGTTTATTTCTATCTCCAACATGATCTACGAAACTACTTCTGTATCACATGTACTATAAATACTAGTAGGTAGGGAATTGACATCTCGTCGTATTTGTTATGTGTGAATACTATGATGCAGGCCCGTAGAACGGGAAGGGGGGGGGGGCTTTTCTGAGTATTTTGCTATTGTTAATTTTCCCTTAGATGCTGGTCTCCCCCCCCCCCCCTTTTTTTGTTGCTGTTATGTCGAGAACTAGCAAATTCCAGGATTTGGATAGTTAAATTATTATTATTTTTTTATTATTTTGCTTGTCAGATTTTTTGGGAAGTTGCCCCCCCCCCCCCCTTCTCCACTTTTGAAACCGTTGCTACGGGCCTGTGGGAAAATGAATTTAAATGATTTTTCTTTAAATCTTTGAGTCTTTGTTTGTGTCCATTTTTGCGTCAATTTTCCTAAACAGATGCAGAATCACGATCACCACGTGTAAATTTATACATAAATTATACAGAAGTCCTACACCTCGGAAAGATAGTAAGCTCACACTATAGACACCTGTTTCTGAAAAAAAAAATACCCCCATAGTATATGATATAACAAGGTATCTAACCCCTATTTACATAGAGTACGACTGTCCGGATAATAACAATCATTTTCCTTTTCAGAAAAATACTCTAGTTTTAATGATTTTGAGTTATTTAATTGAGAGCTTTTTTAATCAGCTGGTCTATTAGTGTCAAAGCGTAGATCTTCCTCTGATGTGAATCAAATTATTTTTTATAACAAGAATGTTTACATACTTAAACATACATGTAATTTGTAAAATAGATGGGTGTGTATTTTGATATATTTAATCAATTTCATGATTGAATTAGTTCGTTGTTTGCAGAAAATTGCATGATTAAGAATATTAAATCGATGGCTTTTTACATATGTTTTGAGAATAAGTTCATTTTAACTATTCACCAGTAACGGGTCAATATTAAATGATAGATAAATTTCATGTATCTGGAGAAGAAATGGACAGCCGTTTATTTGATACAGTGTAATTACTGTATTTAGAAAAAAAATGTGGTGAAAAAATTAATATTAATTAGGATACATGTAGCACATATATATATATTTATACTAAGTAAATATACTTGTATACAGAAATGTACTTATATTGACAATAGTTGTATATGACGGCCAATAGTTGTATATGACGGTAGCTTGATTAAGATATATATTGAGTGTACTCCCATGCAGTCTGAAAAAGTTAATGAGTACTCGACTATCGATCAACTAAAACCGCCGATTATTCGAATAGAATATCCAAGTGAAACAACCCTACAGAAAATACACATTAGAAAAATATTATACCCCCGTTCAACATATTTAACAAAACGTAATTTGGTCAGAAAAGTTTACTTTAGACTTGTTCAGGTTATTCTGTCAGATATTTATTTATAACCGTTCCGATTTTCCATACAAGTTAAATTAAAAAAAAAAGAAGACCCCACAAAACAAATCAATATAGAAGGATTGTAATTGCATTATTTTTTTATTCAGTGACTTGATATTATATTTAGAAAAGCAATATCATTACTTACCTTTCTGTAAGAAACCTGTAAAGTTCTGAAAAGTGGTAACATTCGATTCATGACTAGAGCGATTAAACCCGGAAGTCACACTGAAACCCAAGGTCTGGGATATCCAGATTGATAAGAGGTTTCTTTGCAAATAAGTACATGTGGTGTTGTTTTCAGTAGGGTCTTTTCCGTCAGTGAAAGACCCTTCTATTTATTTTTGTTTCTTTTTCATTGCTATAAATCTTTTCAAACAATGTAATTTTACATTTAAAAAATTGCACTACGTACGTTTGAAAAAGAATACGGGGACACGCCAAAAACAGATAGGGAAAACAAAAAATAAAGTACCAGTAAATCTTTGACAAGTCAAAAAAAAAAAAAAAAAAAAAAGAGAGAGAAAAGAAAAAAGAAACCTTCATTATATACAAAGCATAATTTTTGTTATTTCTAACTCGGTTCTTCTGAAGAGAAAATTGTAAATATTCATGATCATACCTTATTTATTTCTTTATTTTACTCTTTATAAATTATATCTCCGTTTTGAAATGGGCATGACCCTGCATTTAAAAAAATAAACATGAATTCAGTGGCTTATCTTAATACCAGTAAAACAAAATTATAGGAAAAGGACCTATGAGCCTAGAAAGGGAGGGGCACATACATGGACAAAGGTCCTCCAGAACAGACTTCTAATATGTTTGTTTGTTATTTAACGTCCCTCTCGAGAATTTTTCACTTCATATGGAGACGCCACCACTTGCCGGTTTTTGACCTATACTCGGCACACAGGGCCATTAAGCAGTGAGGGATCTTTTTCGTGCCTACTGCACCTACTGCGACACGGGACCTCGATTTATACGGTCTCATCCGAAGGACCGGTCACCATGTCCAAGAGTGGGATTCGAACCCGCGACGTAAGGATCAACTCCTTACTCCGCAACTCTTGAGCAGACGCTCTAACCATGCACTGAGCCACGCGGGCGACTAAATTTTTTTGTATAGAAAATTAAATTTAGGAGTGCTTGAGGACCTAAACCAATCATTTCACAAAATTCTTATATATTCTTCTTCTTATTCTTCTTCATTTTTTATATATGAAATAGAGAAAAAGGAATTTTTAAAGAAAACGTTAATTTTAGGTCTTTTTTTTGGATTGACGGTATAGGATTACGTTACTGATACATGTATATTATAAAAAGATGATTTAGGGAAAAAGTCGAAAAAGTTAGGGTGTCAATATATATCGGGTGGTGGGGGAGGGGGTTCTGTCTTCATGTACCTATGGAAAAAATGCTATATGTATGATAAAAATACAAAATTAATCACAAATTTAGGCCCATGAAATTTATAGATATAAAATACCACCTAAGAATTTCTTTAATTATGACACATGCAAACAATGCATAGTACAATTTTAAAAATAATAACTATGAAGCTTTAATTTTTCCATCCTCACAATGTCAAGGTTTTGTGATTTCGGAACTCCACACAAACATCCTCACAATGTCAAGGTTTTGTGATTTCGGAACTCCACATAATGTGGCGTTCCGAAATCACAAAACCTTGACATTGTGAGGATGTAATTTTTCCGAATTTGATGTTAAAATTGGCGATTTTAAGACTTATTCATTGTTTTTATTACTTATCTTATTTCTTTCATACAAAATCATATCGAGAGCAGTTAAGAATCTGTGATTGAAAAAAAAATCGCATAAAATATGAAAATAACATATGAGAGCAAGAATTTAAGAAATCACGAACACCTCCAAAAAACTGTAGCTTCTAGTAAGGGTATCCGAACCAACTGAAGTTCACAGCGGGGTCATATAAAAAAAATTAGGGCCTAATTTGAACTTGTGCCCTGACTAGCCAATGCATTTGAAACGAAATTTGAAAGGTAAAAACCCTAAATGCACAATTAATAGATATTAGCATCTCCTTCAGCAAGAAGGAAAACAGGAATGTTAAATATTAAAAAAAAAACAAAACAAGAAGAACCAGGCCCGTAGGAAGCAATATCAGTTTTGGGGGGGGGGGGGCACAGCCGGGTGCGTCTTTTTACCACAAGGAACCACAAGGTACCACAAGGAACCACAAGGATACCACAAGGAACCACAAGGAACCCCAGGGATACCACAAGGTACCCCAGGGACACCATATACAACCTTAATTATTCTAAATATGGTTTATATTCACCTGTAAATTAGAAAAAAATGTTTTTGAAAGACAAATTAACACTTTAATTATCTTAAATATAGAGCAGTTATCCAAGTTAAAATTTAAAAGTAAATATACTTATTTAAGCTAAATTATGCATTTATAGTTCAGAGGAACAGTTAAATTATTGTATCTTTTTATGATGTACAAAAAGTTAATGGTTAATTGTGTATTGCAGTAGTCAATACACAAACCAAAAGTTGATATCCAAGAAGAACCCTAATGATAACCCCTGTACCACTAGGATAAGCCAAGGTACCTGAAAGAAAATCCAAATGACACTCAATTCAACTTTTAAAAAATCTTCTCATGGTTTAAATGCACTTGTTAATTATGAATTATAACTGTTTATTGTATATTTGTATAATACAAAACATTAAGAATAAAAGAACCCCAAGGGACATTTAGGATCATGATGAAATCCCAACAAACAAACCCAAAGAACCACTTAGATTAATAAATGACATCCCATTCAACCTTAATAAATCTAAATATGATTTATGTTCATTTGTTATAAATTATAAAGTAAACTGTTTATTGTAAATATAATTTTTTTTAGGTCACCTGAGTCATTCAGGTGACCTACCAATTGTGATTTGTTTATGTTTGTTGTTCATTAGTCATAAAATGTTGAAATTTTCAGCTTCTTTTGAACCACTGAACCAATTTTAACCAGTTTTATGGGTAAAGTTAACCAGTTTTTATAGGTAAAGGGAAACATGAATTTTAAATTTCATGGTCCTTGAGCCCTCTCCCCTTCTGGGCTTGAAGGATGGGACTAAAACCATCAAAATATATGCAATTGTTAAAATCTTCTTCTTTACTCTTGGAAATCCAATAGTCAAACTGTTGACATGAATGTAATAAGCATTAATTGAGCTCTCTATCAATTGTAAAATTTGCGGCCCAGGGGTCAGGTTTTAGGGTAATCTGGTGAAAAAGCATTATTTCTTTCAAAATATTCTTTACTCTAGGATATTAAATTAGGCAAACATATTACCAGTAAATGCATGGTGTGATGCATATATGAGCAAGGGTGCCTCTTACAAAATTGTGAAACTTTATGTCCTGTGGGTAAGCTAAGGGTTCTGGTGTAGGGTGAGGATCTATTGGTAATATAGTGAAAAAGCATCATTTTTTTTAAAAATCTTCTTTTGAAAGTGCTTGCAGTTGTGTTGAGAAAATGCATACCGTGCCATTTTCAAATTATTTCTTTTAAAACCCCTTCTGCCCCTGGTATTTAACACATAAAATAAATTATTTATGTCAGAAGTGCAACTATAGATGATTTGGGGGGAAAAAAACTTGCATCCTCATTCAAGTCTAGAAAGTATGAAAAACTACCTATAAATGGTTTACAATTTCCAAACAATGAAGTGCCTTTAATTACAAAATAAAAAAAAAATGAGTGTGTTATAAATTTAAGATGATGTTTTTTTTGTAAACATATCAGAAGTCAGGAGCTAGTGCAACAAAATGAGGTTAAATAGAATCACTTCCAAATCTTGTATTTAAAAAAAAAATAACACTTTCAAAATTCTTTTTTTTTTGTTGCCTTATTTATAGTTTTCAGAATTGCCTTGTATAAATTGATATTAAGTAATTTGTTGGGAATTAATTTTAACACATCATTTAGGCCAAAAAAAAATAATAGTCTTGTTTCCTGCTACCCGACCTACCCTATTTTTTAGCCCCCGACCCTAAAGTTTTTTTTAAGTTTTGGAAGAAAAAAAATTGGGAATTTCTGGAATTTCATTGTTCTGTCACCGTAATCGGTTTCCATGTTAACACAAAACAAGCATTTCATGAAATTCTTGTTTTAAATATGGACTTTCATAAAATACCACTTGAGTTGTGCATAAAAAGAGATGAAATTTAATTTTAAAAGACAACGTTGACTTGTGACATGTTTAATTTGATCTTGTATTAGTTCATATCCAAAAAATGCTGTCGAAAAAAAAAAATAAAAATATAAAATAAAATAATTTTCCTACCTACCTACCCTATTTTTTTCAGGCCGGTAGCAGGAAACAAGACTATTATTTTTTTTGGCCTTATTAAACTTTCCACATGAGTTAAATTTAAGGTCTGACTGTCTGTACATGTATATGATCAAATTTTTGGTGGAGATTTGTCTTTTTAAATAAAAATAGTTCTGATTTTTCAAATAAAATTCTGTTAACACTGGTTAATAAAAATTAATTCTGAAACTTTTCTATGGATTTGTGTATTAATCTATTGATATACTTAAAAAGTATTCAACTAGAATGTATATATACATATTATGATCTTATAATTGGAAAAATATGTTAAAACAAACTGAATTTTCTTCAAAATTTCAATTTTTGAATTCATGCACCTTATATATCCAAATGTAAGTAAACAACAATAATTTCAGTTAATTTACTAAAACTACACTGCTTTTGAAAAAAAATTCCCGGGTAAAAATCGCAGGAAATAAACTAGAAAAACTAAATATATATATATATAAACACAAAAACTTTTCTCAACAAAACATTTTCGTTCATTGTTTTCATAGCATTTATTCCTTAATTAATACAATATAAAAACAATCATGTACATGTAAAAAGGAAGTCCAAGGTTGTGAGTTTCTTTGTTATGGAAATGCATGAATCCAAACTTATTAAATTTCTCTATATTAGATTGATACATTTATTAAAAAATAAATCATCATGCATTCATGGCATTGTATGAATGTCTATAGATTGTACAGAATATGATCATCTCAATTAAGAGAAGTTACGGAATATAGAAATGATAGCATACATCTATTTTCAATGACATATGGAGAACTCTCTTGTGTACAGGATTTCTTGTTTGCATGCTTGCATATATCCACAGTTTCAGGTAATCATCAGTGATGATCAACAGT